TTTAGACATGATTTTGTATTTCAACATTTACTTTAACTTCTGAGGAAGAATATACATTTTGTAATTAAAACAACAAAATACTGTATATCATTATATTATTATATTATCCGGTCAAATGTAATAACAATGGTAGGTGAAAGTAGTTTGTAATATACAGATTAAAGATGAATTGTTACTGTGTATCTACAATCGGACTTATCTTTAAGTTAAACTTAACATAGAACATAACTACATTTATCTTATATGTTCATTTTCACATACCATTGGTAAAAAAACATGATTATTAAATTTCACTTGCCTCTCGGACATTCATCCGTGTTTGCAGTGTTCTTGCATATAAAAAGAAATTATTACTTTAAAAGCAGGTGGTCCAACTGTCACTTGATTGGTAAACCATGACTTTACTCACATTTTCCTTATAGCTTAAAGGACATAAATTAACCTGTCGCTTCCGTTTTACTGTTGACCAAAAACTGTGTCAATTTGCCGACAACAATGTTATGAGATTTCGTTATATTGGATTGCTCACGAATATGAGAAATCTAGAGTAAACAATGCATGATTAATGACTACTAAATATATGTTTATTTTAGATTTTACCTACGATCACCCTTTAAAAAATGTGTCAACATGTTTGACTTAAATTATGCAATAAACATCAGCATAGCATTTATAATAATGCAGTTTCTTTGAAACAAATTTCCGTCTTTACTTATAGATGTAAAAGGATGGTTACCATTCTGTTGCACTAAACTGTTTATCACCCGGACCTATTGGTCGTGTTTTTCTTTTTTAGTCTCATAGTTTTATTTTTGAAAACACATGTGATAGACCATTACTTGAATTACAATATACACAATGATTTATATTCCTCTTATCATTCTTATCTGATTTATATATACATGTTTTGAATTAACAGATGTTTCAACGTATCTCGACTATTCAACAAAGGTTATCTTACAAACCCAATGTTTGTAATTATTTTTCAGAATCTTTGGTTTAATGTTGAGTTTGCAATTGAAACGTGTTGAATTTAAAGCATGAAAAGAGACTTACATCAACATTTGTGCAAAAACATCCTTTTTTATAAAATTCTATTTTGCTGCTATAATCAAGATACACCTGTATTCATTTATTTGATAATCTTAAGCTATACAGTAACTGTGACGGTCTTAACATTTTACACTGGATCATACATACTGTCTAGAATTTAGGATAAAAAAGAGAATCTGAATTTCATGCTTTTGTATAAATCATGCTTTTAAAGTTAAAGATTGAAAGAAACCTTCTTAGACAATCCGAAGTTATCATATAAATTCCGTAATTGAATATTGTGGACTGTGGCCATTATTTGTGTTCTTTGATTTTAAGGCGCATCGCCATGTCATTTGAAGATCACATGGTACCGTTCAAAATTTCCTGGCGGAGGAATACCAAAGATGCATCTTCGTGCACTATTTTATGATTCTGCCATCAATAATCATAGGTCCTTAGCGGGATTTGATATACCATATTCTTAGATCATTGACACACTTATGTCAAATAATCTAATTGTACGAGCTATACATGTATGTTGTGACGATGTTTTTTCTATCCTTTGGTGAAATTGGAAAAAGAGCATTATGAAAATAAAATGTGTTACTAGTTATGTTGAAGTCGCTCGCCTTTAAACTAATTGCGTCGTTAACAAGCCTTTCGTTTTTGATTTCTATGGGTTCTTGGATCTAATATGATCTCAGTCGACCATAAACTAACGACATATATCAGAAAGATAAATTTTTTGTAATGGTATCAAGTAATAAACCGAGGATAACAATTTATATGAAATAATTCACAGGACTCGGATTTTATAATGAATATTTTAGTTTGCAAACATCGTTTAAATGAGCGATTGAATTTGTTTATTTTAAAACAGTGTCAAACAAACAATATCAACTTGATAAGGCAAAGTGAATTATGGCAAAAATACATGTACTAGACGATAGTGCTTTAATAAATGCAAATATAAAAAAATCTTATGCACACCATGTAAAGTATATGCATAAAAAATACTCGTCGACAAATAATATACAATCATAAATGCATTTTGGGTATCTTAAACAACATCTTTATTCCGCTTCGTTTGTATGAATGATGACATTGTCCCAAAGGGTCTTCCGTCAGCTTGTATTGATACTATAAATATGAAATTCTCCAAAAACCTGCACCATCAGATGATCTAATCCAACCTTTCAAAGTTGAAAAGCTCAACACTAAAAGTTGTTTAAGTGTGAGTTTCCTGTCTATAAAACCAAAATGTAATCGTTGTCTGTTAAGCTGCTTACAAGAGAAAATAACGTAAATAGTGCAATGTAAATCCATCGCAATAAATAGAAATTTAGGCGAAGATTACCGATCTGAAATAGAGTGGTTGAAAGCTTTTTATCACTAACTGCATCTACACTTGCTGTAAATTAAACGCTTTAAAATAGAATCTAATGCAGTTAAACGTTAGTTTTTCGAATGCTTTCTTGAGACATTAAATTATATATTACACAACATTTAAATTATCTCCCGGAATAATGTTAGGTTTTTTCTGATATCTTCTCTTATTTTGAGATCTTAATCAGCGCTTTGTAAAGATTGAATAATTCCTTTTTTTGTAAATGTAACGAGTTCTAAAAAAAAACATTTTGTAGGAAATTAATTTAAAACTTTTCCGGGATATTAACAAAAATGCCATGAAATTATGTTTTATGATTATAGTTTTGTGCGTATGTGTTTCGATTATTCTAGTTACATCATGTCATAATATGAGCCGCGCCATGACAAAACGAACATAATGGGTTTGCGACCAGCATGGATCCAGACCAGCCTGCGCATCCGCGCAGTCTGATCAGGATCAATGCTGTTCGCTTACAAACTCTATAACAAATAGAGAAACCGATAGCAAACAGAATGGATCCTGATCAGACTGCGTGAATGCGCAGGCTGGTCTGGATCCATGCTGGTCGCAAACCCATTATGTTCGTTTTGTCATGGCGCGGCTCATATGTTGATAACTGGATAAAAAAATTTAAAATCATGTAAAAGGGACAAATGATGTTATCGTAAGCAGTATTCTTGTAAGAATGTTCTATGATATACAATAAACTGTTTTAACTTCTCAATAATATATGTGTCATCTGCAAATGTACGCCAATTATTTTAAACGTTCGAATGTTTCAAAAAGTATTGCTTGAATAAGTTGAATTGGTATGTTGAAACAGTTTATGTTTCGGTGTACTTCCTTGGAAACTTATTTAGAAATGCATGTATATGTTCTAAAGTCTTGCATTTTTCCCTTTAAAATATCGAATAACGTTTTAATTTTCTACAGAAAGCATTATCCGCAATTACGCTCCATTTTTTATTTGCGTAAATATAAACGTAAGAGTGAGATAAACAATTTTATTCTTTTTCATTTTGAAACCTTCTTTTTATTTACGTATTACACCGTACTCCAATACGGTGACTATCGCCGAGATATATTGACTTATTTATGTAAAATTTCAGTAAATAAATATATTATACATTTACAAGCATTCTTCTGTTTTAAAATGTTTTATAAGCATATCTTATTTGACATATTTATTACCACTAAAACATATCGTCGGGAATTGCAATAGTGTACACATAATTAAATACACTTTTCATTGCTTATGTCCGTGCATAGATAATATTTATCTAGGAAAATCACAATCAAAGAAATTTCAAATTATTTCTCTGCGTTGCATCACTACAAACGCTGCTATAAGCTTTGAATTCAGAACATTTTGTAGTTTCATTTTGTATTCTTGTTGTCTGCTGTTCGTTTGATTCTCTTATCTTTATTCGTGATTCAACTTTGCACGATTTGCTTAATATTAAAGCATGCAAGACCTGCATAATGTAGTAAAAACAAATACTGCTTTCCTATGAATTGTATTAAAGAATACTTGGAGCACAGATCTTGGTAAATCCGACTATTATATGTTTGAGGATTTTGTTTTCTTTTGTTTGTTTAATTTTGGTTGTACTTTTTATTATCCTGGGTTTTAAACACAACTTTTGTTGCCTGTTCAATCTGACATATAAAAATATGTTCATTTTTTTATTTTCTAAAAAATGTTGATAAACCACCAACATGTATTTTAGTTACGGAACAACGGTGATTGAAGTAAGAAGATCTATAAATACTGCATATTATTTTTTCTTCTTAATTGTCAATATACGTATTTTGTATCCTATTTGAAACATGTTACTAGGTGAGAGGATTAAGTAAGTTAGCTGACTATATGATTGTGTAGATGTTAAATGATATCAGACAGATGTTTTCATAAAAAATGTTGATAATGTATATTTTTGTTTTTACGAGACACGTTAATGTAACTTTTGTAAAAGATGTACAATGCTCAAGTTTGATATTAAAAAAATAAATAATTGCTTCACAGTCTCTTTGTAAATATGAGATAAGCATGCTTTGACTTCACGCGAAGTAGATATGTTATACTAATGTATTTGAATACATAATGTCATAAAAACAGTGTCATAAAAAGCAGTATTTTTTTAAAGAAAAGACAAACTTTACTTGTCACCTAATAGGGAACGCAGCTTCGCATACATCGTGTATTCTATTTTAATTCCAATAAGACATATTCAGTAATAAGTTCATAGATCACAGTAAATATCTGTTATAAAAATAGTTTTTATTTAAGGATGAGCAAAGAACATCTTTCAGTTGTCATTTTGATGAACATTGTTAAAATATTGTGATCATGATTAGCTTGCTAGTAAAGGACTCATTGGATAGCCATTACACTTTTGATGAACTGTATCAAACAATCAAACACCTATGATAACATGCAGGCCACAGCATCAATGTACTTGTGACCCGAAGTCAGAAAAAATAAACTGCTCGGCATTGGAGGCACAAACACGGTTTTATATGCACCAAGACTACCATATTTATTACAATTTTTTTTTAAAATGGTACTCAAATCAACAGACTAAAATAATTTATTGAAAACTTAAAACGTCAAAATAATATAAAACAATATTTGGTTAAATCAAATAACAAACGCTTGATATGTACTGTGTTTTTTTACATAAACTTTTGTTTAATCAATTATGCTTCTTATTTATCGTCTCTTTGTCATTACTTTGGATATCATTGTTTCCTACATTTTGTATTGAATTTCTTTTTGTCCGTGTGACAGGTTTAGTTTTTCCTTTAGTTTTTAATTCACAACACTTTTGAAATAAATACATCATAACAAAAATAATTCCTTTGAGAATATACATAAAGTATTTACACATGATTGCACACGTAGTTCTGATTGCCAGAAATATCAACGATTTTACATATTGCTCGGTTTGCAGCTTTAAACACATTTCATTCGAAAGAACTCTGATAACTGATATGTCTTTAGCTAAGTCTATAGGTAACTCCGAATGTTTTGTCAATGAAAACACGTCAGCACCGTGAACGATGAGCATTGTAGTAACCTGTAAAAATCCAAGTGCTGCCGCTGTGTGCAAAGGCGAGAACCCGTATTCATCCTGAGAACTCACATTTGCGCCGTGATTTAACAGCAATTTTACAGAATCAAGATTATTTGTCAATACAGCGTAGTGTAATGCAGTCAAACCCGTGTGATTTCTTTGATTCAGATCAAACTCTGACCGCTGATATCGCAATATGTGTAACAATTCCATCACATCCCCGTCCTGAATAACAGCATTTAAAATTGAGTCGACTGGAAACGAAATTCTCTTAGCGCTATGTGATGACGTCATTTTTGGAATAACCTCATCGTCATCACTATTGCCTGCTTCAACTGGCTCTTCTGCCTTTAACACAGTTATTGTTTGCATCTTTACAGCCATCTGCAACAAAGTTGAAAATGGTATTATATATATTCTAGTAAGCAATCTGAAAATGTATTTAGCATTTAAAATGAAATCATATCAAAATATAATCCAAAAGACCAACACTGACAGTAGAAGATGTAATTTAAATTATCAACTTTAGCAACAAACTTAAAAAAATCTGTAAAATTTAAATTATTTAATAACTCACAGCTAACACAAGACACAGGGGGAGAATCACGGCGTGATTCTCCCATTTGAAGATTGTCATTTAGAAAAATGCACATTTTATAATATAAAATATAATTAAACAACCAATAATGAAAATACATGTACAAGAACGTCGTTTTGTCTCATGCGTATAAAATAATATAAACATTTTCTTTATTCGATTAGAACTCACACATAAAATACATGATCTATTATATTTTTACAATATATCTTGAAAATTATTAAAAATTGTATTGCATCATTAGTCAACAAAACAAAATGTCCGTTCTTTAAAAAATACAATAGAAACATAACGAGTCAGTTGAGGACACGTGCCTCGTTCTCACACTTGTCTGTCATTATTGTTAAGATAAAAAACGTTAACAATATCCATTACATTAAGTATACAAACAAATCCATAAAATCCCTGTTTACTATACACAACTTGAAACCTTGGCAAAAATACAGACAAAACAATGTCTTCATAATACCACTATTCCGATGAAATAAAATAAATGAAACAAATGTTATCTTATAGTCTAATGATAAGTTTGAAACACTTACTTTTAACAATAAGTAATAAATTATTAGATTCGTGGACGAAGACACAACGCAATAAAGTACACATTTTATGATACATATAAAACGTTATTTATTTAAACTGCGTGACATCAACCGTGAGAAACTTTACTCTAGCTGAGGACACTGGCCTCATTTTCAATTGTATTTGTCATTGTTTACAATGTTTTACCTACATGAATGGAAGTTTTAAATATGAAATATAAATATTTGATAGTTAATACATGTAAACGTTTGTATTGCTGTTTTATTGATATGAAACGTTGTTTTGACTCTATTTGTAGAAATTCTCTTTGGTATAAGCTTTTTAATATGGGTTTAAACGGCAAAATTCTACGCATTATTAGAAATATGTATCAATCTGTGAAGTCGTGTATACGTTCATGTGATAATATGAATTATTCTGATTTTTTCGACATCGCAATCGGATTACGTCAAGGGGAGATAATTTCCCCGATTATGTTCTCCTTGTTTATTGAAGATCTTGAGCTATACTTGCAAGATAGAGTAAACTGTGGGCTTACTTTAAATGAGTTATGTATCATATTATTACTATTCGCTGACGACATGGTTATTCTAGCAACAAATCCGTCTGATTTGCAATCGTCACTAAATAAATTATATGAGTATTGTAATACTTGGGGACTACAGGTAAATGTAGATAAATCAAAATGTATGGTATTTAGAAAGCGGGGAGGCTTGAAAAATAGGGAAAAGTGGTTCTACGGTGAAAATGCATGTATTCTTGAAAATGTTAATGATTTTAACTATTTAGGTGTTACTTTTAACTATACAGGAAATTTTCATTAAATACCCAAAATTTGTATGGTAAAGGTCTTAAAGCAATGAGTTCACTCATAGCAAATTTAAAGAAACACGATACGTTGCCGAAAGTAGCCTTACAACTATTTGATTCGTTTGTTAAGTCTACAATAAACTATGGATGTGAAATATGGGGTTTTGTGAAATCAAAACAATTAGAAACTTTACATATTAAATTTTGTAAGATATTATTGGGAGTGAGACAGTCGTCATGTAATACTGCTGTTTACGGAGAGTTAGGGAGATATCCCTTGTACATAAATAGATATGTTAGTATAGTTAAATACTGGCTCAAATTATGCATAGTGAAAATGTTATTATAAAGGCTATAGTTGAGTCGGACTTAATTGATTGTTTAAATGGTAAATCCAATTGGTTTACAAATGTAAAAACTCTATTGTCTAAATATGGATTTTTATATAAATGAAATGAAGTTATAAGCACTAGAAATGTAAACCTTCCTATCGATTATGCGTTTCTTAGTATGTTTAAGCAACGTTTGATAGACGATTTTACACAAGAATGGCGAACTAGTATCAACAATATGGAGGTTTTAAATTTGTATAAATATGTAAAAGATACATTAGAAATGGAACCATATTTAAACAATATCGCATCTCGTAACTTACGGATCGGATTGACAAAGTTGCGTATATCCGCACATAGTCTAAGAATCCAGACCGGCAGATATGGGAGAGATAGATTAGAGAGAAATCTTAGAGTATGTCAAATATGTAATGGTAATGAAATAGAAGACGAGTTCCATTTTGTTTTTAATTGCCCGGCATATCATTCTATTAGACTAAAGTATATCAAGAATTTTTTTAGAACAAAGCCAAGTATGTTTAAATTTACACAATTGTTGTCATCTAAAAAACAAGTCAATATTGTCATGTAGCAAAATTTATACATGAATCACTAGAAATACGTACGAGTAGATTATTACGATCCAACAACTGATTTACATTTAATTGTTTGTAATATATCATTTGTAAATATGATGCTTGTTAATGACAAAGATGTAAACATTTATAGATTGTATAAAGCACATGCTAAATGCATTTTTCAGAAATATATAATTTAAAACAAAGAAGATTGTATATATCAAAACTATGTGTATAAGAAAGTGAGCAAACGATGGATTAGAATGAGTATTTTAAAATAAAAAAAAACATCAACAGAAAGTGAAGCAATCTCATATCGAGCGAATTTTCAAAAATGCTACATTCATTGAAGAAAAAAGTAAAGTTAATGTTACTACGAAAAATGCATATTATATGATAGTAATCCAACGAGTGCTCAGTGTTTTAATTATAACTTATACTTTTATATGGCATTGTATTTTGCATATGAAACAAATAGAAACATATGGTATCTTTTTACATCAATCGAATTGTTGGTAGAATATTAAATGGCATGAAAAGCATAAAGCAAGCGAAAAAAATGTATTATTAATATTATGCTGATTTAAAATTAAATAATTTATAACGCAAAACATGTTATTATAAATTTTAGCGAAACGAATTGATACCATGATGTTTCTTATTACTTATGATGATATATGACATGATATAAAACAAACATGGTTACATGTATTGTCGATCACCATAAATATTAGATCAATTTAATTTCTTATATGGTTTTATCTTTGGTTTTATGCAAATGAAGAAGTAGAAGTTGTAAACGATTTCAACTATTTAGGTATTACATTAAATTACACTGGGAATTTTACCTTAAATACACAAACATTGTATGGAAAGGGATTAAAGGCAATGAATGCTCTTGTTTCAAATTTAAAAAGATACAATACTAAAACAAAATTAGCCTTACAATTATTTGATGCTTTTGTTTCATCTATTATTACATACGGTTGTGAAATATGGGGCTTCACTAAATCAAAGCAACTAGAAACATTACATTTGAAATTTTGTAAAACATTACTTGGTGTGCGCCGCTCTTCTTGCAATGTAGCTATTTATGGTGAATTAGGAAGGTACCCTCTATATATTAATAGATATATACGTATTGTTAAATATTACTATAAAATATGTAACAGCGAAAATTTGATAATAAAAACTATCGTTGACAGTTCTATTGCTGATGCTGAAATGAATAAGCCAAATTGGTTTTATAATGTTAAATGTATGTTAGCCAGATATGGATTTTTAGAGACATGGTACAATTTTCGTAATATCAATATTGCTAATTTCATTTCAACATTTAAGCAGAGACTGATTGATGAATTTGTGCATGATTGTAAAGGAGTTATGGAGAGAAGTAGTTCTCTATTAGTTTATAAAAATATTAAAGATTCCTTTGCTTTTGAACCATATTTAGATAAGATTACTTCAAGAAACCTTAGGACAGCTTTTACAAAAATACGTATTTCAGCCCATAGTCTCCGTATCCAAACTGGAAGGTTCGCAAATAATCAAATAGATAGAGATCAACGTTATTGTCAAATCTGTAACTTAATCGTAATCGAAGATGAATACCATTTTGTTTTTGTTTGTCCACAATACAATGTTATTCGTCAAAAATATATAAAGAAATTTTACAGACAAAAACCAAGTATGTTTAAATTTGTAAACCTTTTAAATAGTCAAGATTTTTCAGAATTACTTACGTTTAGCAAATATATTTTCGAGGCTTTTAAAATTAGAAATCAAATTCTTTCAAATGTGCCAATTTAACTTCTTGAAGTATGGTAATTCATTTACAATAATATTATATGCACATTTTAATGATTCCCTTTTTGAACGGTTTAGGTATTATATTATAGTTCCTACTTTCCATTTTAAGTATCTGTTGAATTCACACATTATCATATAATGCAAGTACATGTGTTTTTTCTTTGTTCTTAAATATGCAATTACATGTTGCTTTTTTGATTTTCATTATATAATGTATGCATGTTGTTTCTTAAGAAAATATTAGTTCATCCATTATTGTGTTATATATAATAATTTCATTCACTTTTCATCCTATATGTATCGTTCAATATTATATAATATGTATTATTCATTGTTAAACACTAGAAACTGTACAGTTTATGTGTAATAAAATCTGTTCTGTTCTGTTCTATATTATTATATCCTAATCCTTTTAGTATACATAATTGATATTTGTCACAATTGTATGTTCTATGTACACCTATATGTTAATTTGTAAAATGTAGTGGCTAGCCACTAGAAACTGTAAAGTTTATGTGAAATAAATTTGTTCGTTGTTGTTCGTTGTAAATTATTTATTAGTTTTTGTCTATAACAGTTTCAATATTTTTTCTTCTTCTTATTTTAAAGGATAAAAATCATAAAGTTAGTTACATGCTGAAAAAAAGTGTTATTTGAATTTCTTAAAAAGAGTACTTCCAATTTGCATTTATGGAAGAGATCTTTTTGTTTATT